ATTTATTTCGCTATTTCGCGGTGTATTCATATGATCGCGAAAATTTGATACATAAAACTATGAAGATTCCTGTTAATAACTTAACCCTAGGTTTATCAGCATCAGTAACAGTCGATTCCAGTTGAATCATTCTGATGTTGTATTGTTGTATTTGCAACTTAACATCGGAAGCAATATTCCCAAACTTTATACATCAGATTGTGTTATTTCAATTCGTTAGAATTAAGGTAGATTTTTTCATTTTAAATAAAAATGGTGAAAACATTCAATACTTATACGGCATATTGGTCATAAATGTAAAGAATGAGTTTGAAAAGAAATAATGATTTGAAATGATAAAGGTATATATACATTGTTGGATGGAGAATAACAAGTAATTTTAGTCTGATATCGAATAAGAACTCGTGTTCATTGCACTCTTTGACCACTGTCCATCGATACTTCTCGAGAAGAATCATCATAATTCGCAATAGATCATTTGTCTGGTCATCCAGTTGGCGTCCTTAGATCAATGGTTCAGGCACAAACTTAATTTCGAGGTTAATTGTTTAGGTGTGAAATTTTCTACCATTTGACTACATTAGAATCTATTGAAGGCTGAAGTTAATAGACTTGACCGCTCTAGCCACCACTGGGTGATGTAATCAACTCCCTAGGGTGAAATTATTCATTTAAGGAATTTATATCATTGAGCCAATCAACCAATGCTAGGGTGTAGCATATCAAACGAAGTTGATTGCCCAGCATGAAATCGATACGTGACGTTCCGGATAATGAAGACCTGCTTCGGTTTAGTCAAGTACTTGACTTATGCTCGTTGTATCTTATTTACACGATGACAAATGTTGCGCGTTCATCTTTGATCATTCCTCCAACAGATCCGGTATACATCTGGTGCTGATAGATAGCATTTTCCGAAAATTCGATTATTTATAAAGCATTACAATTGCTGATAATTGAAATGCGTCTTGATATGTGTAAATATATTTATTTTTTCACAAAAGCAATTAATAATCTAATGGATGTTCATATTCTATATGCATTTATACATAATATGACTCTATATATATATTAATTAATTAGTAATACTGCTTTGAAATAAAAAAAATCCATGTACCTAGTCAAAAAACTTTTTCATTTTTTATTTTAGTTTTTCTTCTCAAATCAAAGGTTTTAACATTAAAAAATGATAAAACTGTATTTTTGACATTGTGTCTTGTCATATTGTACTCAGTTGTAACGACGTCATTTTTCATAGATTGCGTCATAATCATTTTCACAAAAATAAAGAAGTGTTGGATGAAAAGTAATTGATAAATAGCTTATTAGATCAAATATAATACACCTCATACATATCACGTTTACCTTTTTTCACTATAATGATGAGTATTTCTGTTTTTTTCAAAATGCTAATTGTTGGCTGTCTAATTTTATTTTATTTATAAGGGACAAGCCCTCATACACACTTTGAGGGATGTACCCGCCAATACACTTCCTCTTATTGCCGACGATCGATTTTACAACTAATTTAATAAACGAACGATGTCATCCGATCTATTTCCGGAATTACTTCAACAAAATATCATTAGTTGATTGTTAATGTTCGATGTTTCCGTTTTCTCACCAACCGGATCCTGATCCTGTTTTTATATTCACCTCTCCTTTCACTCTGCTGATGGAGAAGGTTATTACAGTATAGAAAATCAATGCCGAGAAACCACAGGTAAATTTATCCATAATCAAATATTTCCGTTAGCTCATGGCCTCTATTATAGCTCAATAACGCCGTATAATTGTATCTCTCTATCGGAACGGTTGACAAGACCTCAGCTGAATACGGGACTTTTGTAGAAAGGTTTTAATTCATTTGTTGAAAGAGCTGGCCTGATTCCGTATCATTATTTTATCAAGATTTGAGCGAATGGTATCTAGTAGCAGGACATTCATATGTTAGATTTTAATTCATTTGTTAAAAGTCTCTCACAGTATGGGAATCACGTTTTCAGTGCAGGCAGACGTTGACATTCTTTGCCTTTGGAAAATAAATCGTCTGTTTCATATTATTATGATTTTATCAGTCGGTCTGCTAATGGATCGTCGGCCATATTGGATAGCTATAAATACAATCACGTGTCTAAGGTTACTGTCGGACAGAGCATGCAAGGGGCATTTACTGTCAAAATACAAATGACTTTTCAATTTTGTCATTTGTGTTATTAAAATTTTCCTTCTAACGATGTTATATTTACATTATATCGGGGTCTGATCTTCTATAGTCTAATTCAATAGTGGAAGTGATTTAACACAAATCTTGTATTAGGATCATGGCTTTTAGATACCGTTCTACTCATACGGGTAATAGCAGATGTCAAACTTGTAGTCATAAATCAGTTTTATCAGTCAAATGGAAATATACTTACCAATCTAATTTAGCATCAATGATCTAACCTCGATTGCTATCTAAGGAGATTATAAAACATCCATAAAAAGTATTGAAATAGATTCAGTTATACAGCACATCGCATTTTTCTTTTTTAATATAACTACCTGCCATAATCATATATCTATATATATATATATCCCGATAAACACAATACACAATATGATAAATCTTTCATTATCAACAATAGCATTAAAACACTTTTGTTAGAGATGTATATCGTCTTTTAAATTCAGAAGGGGGAAATAACTCTATATTTTTTCTGTCGTTATTTTATTATATATTTTCTTTGTTGGTAACACAAACCCAACAACCTTACAATTTTCCCCATCACATTAAAGTTTAATAGCTTATGCCCAATACTATTGCATGGGGATGAAATATGTGTAAAACTGAAGATTATATATTCAAATAAAACCCACAAAAATATAACAACACATATTTAACCACTTGTTAATGAAATATGACTCGTCAAATTCGCATTACTTGTTTCTTGTTCTAAAATATATATATTGACTATATATATGATTTTTATATCGGTATTGAAAAGATATTTCAGTGGTCAAAGATTAAACAATTACTTACAGTGAAAATTGCCATGGTTTTACGTAAATGCTTATTTACCTGATATGAAATACGTAGATGTTTTTTCTTGTTAATTGACATGTGAACGACTCAGCGAAACAAGCATGTTACAATTGTTATTTACACAATACAGACGATATACCGATATGCGTCGTTGACCAATCATTGTATTTGTACATTTTTTCATATCGACATTTATATTTTGCTATCATTAAGTATCAGTTTTATGAACAGACTGAATCTCCGACCTAACATGACATTTTTGTGTCGACAATTCATCTCGCTAGCTTACCCGCAAGATGTTGAAACACTACAGCCTTGGTACAAACATAAACACATGTTGACAAGCAATATACATCGTATGAAATGTTAACCTCAACCTTTTTAGTAAAATAGTTGATCCACTGTAATTAAATTGAAAATGGACTTGATATTGATATAAAGTCATCATTTCTTATAGGTGTGTGGGTTAACTTAAATTATTATCTCTAAATATTTAATCAAAGTCAAGGTAATAGATATATCAAAGTTAATGCTAGCTGACTAGAGATTACATGCAAATAGGATAAAAATAGACTAAAAAGCTTTTCGTGGCATATCAATTTGTATGGTGTACTTAATTGATATATATTTTTTGGAAGAGTATGGGTATCGTATCTCCTCGTAATTTAACTCTTAAAGGCATGTCACTTATTTAAAGGCAGACTGTTACTAGCATTAAGAATGAAGACTGACAAAAATCATATCTCCGCTCCTCTCTTTACAGGAATTTAGCCGTGGGCAAGGTTAATAAATTATGAAATAATGCTCAACTGAAAAAAAATAATATTGTTATCTTTTTGTGATAATCGTGATATTCTTTGTAGATATATTAAAGGTACGTTAGTGAAATAGACAATCTCCTAGGTGTTTTTCTTCTTTTGTTTGGTACTTTTTACATTATCAAGATAATATGATCCGCAGAAATGTCTGTGTTCATGGTCGTAATCAGACCTTTTCATAGCGGGTATTTTAGTATGGTAGATTGTGTCATAACAAGTTACATGATGTACTAGTAATTGATTGTTGTGTCTAACATGAAAGTGACATCCATAGCTTAAATATAAATTCCATAGCTAGCTAGGCACAGATGTCGAATTCCAGAATAGATAAAAGCATATGTAATATTCATTAATTTAGATAAGATCACACACGGTTCACACCCAGTCGACGGTCGGGACCGTGGTGGGTATCACAACAATAAAATCATAGAATTACGAGCAATCCAATCGGGCGAGAACTGACATTGGCAGGTCGATATTATACTTATTAAGCAGAATGTTCAAACGACAGGAATTAAAAATTTATCTCCCGGTATAAAAGTCTGACTTAATGTATCAATGACTTGTTGTGTTGATTTGAGACCGATGTTGCCAGTGGTTGTTTTGGTCGGTCATTACTCAGTAAAATTCGATCCAGGCTGAAATTGATTTGAAATGTATATTTCAATGTTAGAGCTAATGAAACAATGAGAATTGCTAAAATCATTTGATACATCATACATCCACACTCGTTATCACAAATACAGTCCGGTTGTTTTAGAGAAAGAATAGTCAGCATTTATCAGATTAGATCTTAAACAACAAATATATAAATAAAACATTATATCACAAAAACGAAAAACCCAATTAAGAGGAATTAGTATATTTTAATTGGTATTTTTCTAACAACTTTCCTCGTACAGAATAAAAGTAGATTTTAAAAAGGTAGAAAGAAGAGTCAGTGTTATCTGGATGGTGTTTGCTTCAACCTCAAAGAAAATCCAAAGCAAACAATAATAAACCCTAAAAAATAAATAAAAACAAATAAATCAGTACAAAAAAAAACCCATAAAATGCTGGTGGTAAAATGACATCCATTGCATCGAATTCATTTGATATAATTATTGATATGAACAACATCATTTTTATATTTTCTTTTTCTTTATATTTTTCAGATTTTTCCTTAAATTTTTCATGAAGTGCAATCAAAATTGTCTAAAAAATGCTGGAAACCCACGTGACATGAGAAGATTTCAGGTGAGTCTATCATTGTGTTATCATTTTCGTTAATAGAGTACTTGTATACGTGTATGTTACAAATCTACTTCTTTGACCCCCGGTTTTCATTGATTTGGGAGTCACACGTTAAAGATTATGGGCCATCAAATGCGGAGATACCCTCAATAAACAGTGACCTTTTGGGGTCAATGCCTTTCTTGCCTTTGATCAATATTCCTATTCACTTCCGATGTATTTTTGTAAAAAGAAATATAGCACACTGTAAACAAATATATTTCTGACATCCCTGTGTGTTATTTTCTGACTGGATGTAGAACGCTGACATGATGCGACTAGGCGGTAGAGAGTCGGATTAATGTCAATGGATGTTCCATTAGGGAGAAATGACAAGATTTTGGGGATTAAGTTGAGTAGAATGTTATTAATACCACGCGATGCGTAGTGAAGACAGACGATTATATTGTCCTGTAATGGCCGAGCAATTCCCTCGTGACATATTCCCAACCGAAATAGTCAGCAAACCAAATATATATTAAAAATATCTTGACATATATGCACACTCAGTGATGTAAAGAAGCAAAAAGTCGTGCAAATATCGTCAATCTCCGTATAATCCGATGGCCCGTTGCCATAGTGATATGTAAATGATCGGAGATAGTAATTAACTAAAAGTCCTCTTCTAATATAACGACTTTTAAGTATGTGGATCTTTTTATACGTATAACAGTAAGAAGAAGCCATCACAATTTTGCCGATGTTAAGTATGTTTATGCTTGAGTAAAATTATAATCATCAGTGACATGGATCGTAAAAGAAGGTCAAAAGCAGATATTACATTGTTAGATGGAGAAGGTACATTTGAGTAAATAGTGTTCTGGGACTAAAGGCCATTAAAATACATTTTTTCTCTTTAAGTTTTACTAATATATTCATACGGAAGTTTAAATATCTTGTGCCACACACAACCCGCGTACATTGAATTATTACGATTTGTACACAGAGATAGTTTACACACGTTTAAGGTTTTTATTAGTAGAAGCAATTAGACAAAGTCATTTTCAGGAAAAAGGCAGAAAAAATGGTAATATCAAGACATTTTCCATTCGCTTTAGGTGTAATGTAGAGTAATTTCGTATCATATACTTGAAAAGGTGCAAAAACACAGAATGGTCTTATATCTTTTAGTAATTTTAAGGACAATATTTACAAATTTTCATGTAAAAAATTGTTATTTTATAGTTAAATGAGGTCATTTTGATATCTATTTTGCAAAAACAGTATATTGATGAAAGAATATTGATATATTATAAAGATCAATGGTCTATATGTTTGTTTACGAGATGTTATGTATAATATTTAATTACATCGTTATTTCTCCATATGCTTTATAACATATTTGAACTTATTAAATAAACAGATGCATATGAAGTATATTTCCGAAACACCATCGTAATTATTCTTTTATTGTCAGTTAAATTTACCAAATTTACTCTAAAAAATATCACCAAACGTTAATATAATTTCGTTACGAGTTTTGCAAAAATTTACAGCAGGAAACAATAAAACACTGTGAGTCATAAAGGTTATTAATGAGAGTATGGAATAAATCCAATGAAATTGAAATTTTAGGGTTGAAGTTTTTTTATGTAAAACAACATGATGTATCTGTAGAAAAAATAGACTTCCTGGTTACATTCTGATATTTATATTATATGTTGGCAATTGAAAGACGATGGCAAAACTTTTCATTTAACCGACAAATTAAGAGGTTCTTAGAATCGATTTCGTTACAAACAGGTATATAGAAATGTACAAATTATCACAATTTGGTCAGGAACTCAGTTAGATAAAGAATTATATGTGATAGTCATACTCATTACACTGGTACATGTCGTATTCGCATTTAGAATTTTTTCTATTTTCCTGTTCGACATGAAATCACTCTTCTGGAAACTCGATTTTTTTTTCTTATCAAAAGCGCGGCTCTCATTTTGTGAACCATACATTAATTTGCTTTATGGTAGATGTAAATGGAATACTTGATCTTATCATTCTTGTACCTTTTTAAGGGTATGTAAATCTTTGTTTTGTCCATATCATAGCTATGGGTTTGTTTTGGGAATACTTATTTATTTATTTATTTAAAGGTATATTACTCTAGACACCGTATTTGCATTGCACTTGTATTAAAATTTAATGATATAATCTGGAACCTGTTTATTGTAAATATAAAATTAAATGTATTATATTCGGAATAGAAAGGTGCTAAGAATTACATACTTATATATTTTTCATGTAAGTAAAAAGCCATCGCGATTTGAATGGTTGACTGTTTACTTAGACATACAACTAGGTAGGGATAATGACATACGATATTCCAAAACAACCAGTTGACTGTAGACTTGTGTTGTCCGTGTCTGATCCCAAGCAAGCCTTGTAAAGATGGAAGTTAACGACATTTCATTAATGTCGACGCTAGGGGACTCTTTCGTCGTTTGTCGGGCATAATTGCATCGTTTGTATTTAAATGTCTGGGGTACGGGGAACGATCTAAATGGTAGCGAGCAAACAAATAAACAGCTTCATCGGAGCATTAGCACAATAGCGGTTAGCGTTAATGAGATGGCCGGGGTTTACTCAACAAACAAATGCAAGTTTATTAAAGTCCCAACGGGGACACAAACCTCTGATACAGGACGATCCCCGGCACTATTTGTGTATATGGCGCGGCAACAGCTATCGTTTCTGTGTTCAGAAACATAATAAAAATGTTAAAGACTATTTAACTGCCAAAATGATTAAATGTTTAAAGCTGCTATTCTCATCAAAGTGTTTGATTGGTATATTTGAAATATTTAAATTTCTACTTTTTATGTTTAGATTATTTATAATAAAACCACATTTGTATATAAATTCTAAGCGAAGAAAGAAGATTATGAGCTGGAGAAGAAAATAGTAATTTCAACAGCTTCAGCATCTACAACAATGAAAATTTGATGACAAAATTAACGTATGAAATCGGGATGTGATATACAATCGTTTCCTAGGTTATAGCATGTGCAATGAAATACCTTGTCAAACATAGGGTAACACGTTGGGAACTAAAAATCTGAGACACAAGGAAAAGCATTGTTGAATACGAAAACGTTTTCGGATTTAAGTGCTAAAGACAACAGTATATTCGAGTGAGGCCTCTCACATATTTAAAGTACCGGATGAAAACATTGGATTGACTGGCTTCTTTCAGATATGAAATCCCTGGATAGACTGGTGCCTCTATTTATGAATATCTGAAAACCCTAAATTGATTGGTGCCTCTTAGATATGAAACCTCTGGCTTATTGTGTTTGTTATGAAGTAGAGCTGTTCCTACATATGATAATGACGAATGCATAGAAAACCCCGCATAAACAACCATTGATTAACAAACAGGAGACTTTTACTAGAGTAGGCTATAGACCAACAGGTAGGACAACCTTACTGAAGTAGTTTATTGGTCAACCGGTAGGAAACCCTGACTAAGTAGTTTTTTGTCATCAAGTTGGTACCACTGACTAAGCACTTTATTGGTCAACTGATAGGACACCCTTACTAGAGAAGTTTATTAGTCAACAAATAGAAAATCTTGATGAGTAGTTTATTTGTCAACAGGTAGGAAACCCTGACTAAATAGTTTATTGGGAAGGATATCATTTACTACGTAGATTATTGGTCAGCATGAAGGAAACCCTATTTACATACTTTGCTGGCCAACAGGCAAAGGATTATTTACCAATACTTACCTTTTCGAAGACACAAACCTATCAGAAATTTGACTTGTTGTCGATCCCAATTAATTACCATTGTAATTTATTTCAGGTGGCCGTTTGTTCTACGATGTCGGTGGAGGGTCCACTGCTGGCTATTTCGGATAATATGTTCGTACACAACAACTCTAAACATGGCCGTCGAGCAAGGCGGTTAGATCCGACAGAGGGAGGTATGCCTGTAGATAGAAACCTATACCCCATTTAGTCAGTGCTAATTAATTCGACAGTCTAAAGAAAGTTGTCACCCAAGTAACCTTTTCAAACTGAAAACATCCCAAAACGGATTTCCATTATTAAAGACAAAGAAAATGTTTTATTAACTTGAAGAAAAGTTAAAAAATCTAACTTATTTTATCAAAACAATTCAGAAAGATTTGTTTACTCTGTCGAATCTGGTTCACTGACTAAAGGCTCTATGTGTTGTTATTTTGTTCTTTGTTTACTAGTTATTTTGTTACATTTCTTGTTTTATTATTCATTTTATCTTATTATTTCCTTTTACATTTTCGTTGCATTCGTTATCATTTTTGTCATCTTTATTGATGTACCATTCGCGTCTACAGTTATTAGGTCGGAAACATATATTTTAATTCATTTCAAAAAGATATTATATATAATTTGTAAATATATTCTTCATAATTAGATACGTGTCGCCAGCATGAAAAAAATAAGATTATTTTCTTGTCTGAGTCTAATCCATCGAAAATAAAAGTACTATTTTAGGTAGTCCACCCCGCTGTTAATGTTCCTCTTGATTTGAATTAATTAAAGCCCTCGTCTTCTTTAACCGTCGCTCTTGTTGGAATCTTTATGCAAGAATTCTATTGAACGTTTGATGAGAGCCGATTTCATTTTCATCCACTGTCGACTGTCACCTCTAGGAAGGGTCAGATTACCTAAAGACAATTATTCACTGATGGAAGATTATAACTTTAATTAGAATGACAAAGAAAAACGTTTGAGTGACTGTTGTTGGCCAGCTGTCTAGTATTTGATTGCGCCGGTCCATCTGGCTCAACCCGACCCAAACATCTGTGGCGCGAAAAGGACTTCCTGTGGGTAGTAGACGAGCGAACACCCCGACATGTTTAATAGAATACATTGAAAATTGCTGCATGTAAGCAGTTTTGGTTCCGTTATGGGGTTTCAACACTTTTGACCCTATGCTATCGTTCAAAAGTTAAAACTCCGTCTTAGATATAATTCAGCATATGCTCGAAATACTTTTTGAGTGATTCTTTTCATGCAAGTATCGCTGTAGTCATTTGTCATATTTTATTTAAAATGAAAATTCTCAGTGACGGAACTTTCAGTCTTAAGGCTACACTGTATTCGTTGGCAGGTCCACTTCAGATTCATTCTGCATTTTCTCCCCTGATCCATATGCTATATTTTATGCTATAACTTTTATAACAGTTGCTGACAAAATGTTGGGAAGATTTGTTGAAAATTAGATTCCATGCAAAATGATTTCTATCAACTGTGATCGCCAGCAATATGGCCGAAGCAAAGTCTAAATCCGACAACATCTCTTATTCTTATTTCATTTCTTTGAACCACGTCATCCGTATGGTGGATCATCAGGCGTCACCGTTATTTCTGTTCGAACCCAATCCCTAATTTGTCACTAATATGTAAGATTTCAAACCCGAGAGTTTGATAAAGTTGTTTGAAATGGACATAACGAACTTGATTAAGTACTGGCCATAGGCCACCGATACATAAAAGATAAGCTTTCTTTGTGCTTCTACATCTTGCCATTTTCAGCTTTTCTGTAGTTTTTGTTTCAATTTAATTTCTGTGTTGATGTTTCTCCATAAATATATTATTTAGTTAGGTTCAACAAAGAATTTGTTATAATGATATAGAGGATGATTTTTTTCTTGAATTAGGTTTGGGGAAAAGCGCTGTTTACAGACATATAATACGGAAATGAACGCTTAGTATTTAGTCATAACATGATAAATTATCTATGTCATGTATCTTAATGGAGTTCAGAACACTTAATGGTTCGTTAAAAAACGTCCTTCTTTTATCATAATTTAACAAAGAATTCCCCCATTCTTCTTAGATGCTTGGTTTCTGGCAGACTCATATGGCCGATTCTCTAAGTACCCCCGGGACACAGCCATTCTTAGTAAGTAGTCCTTTATGTATTTTGATTGGTTGATTATAAATAATCCTTACCAAACAGAATCAAGAACATTATGTATAACAGTTTTCACAGGCTATGTTATTGTTAGTTATGTAGTTTAATTTGAAATTAGAATAGAATTTTCTAAACGATTATATCTTTTTTACACATCTTATTGACTGCTTCGTTTATTTGTTCTTTATTTATTTTCATTTTTTAATTTAGTTTTTTCTTTGCCGTTATTATCCTTAACTTTGTAGCTTTCTTTCACTCACTGTCTAAAATTAAATAGTTCTCACATTTAGCGAACAGTTTAAATCTTAATATCTGATATATAAGTGTCATCCGTTTGAAGAAGCAATTATCAATATGTACATTCTGCTTACAGCGACACCTTGTATCAAAGCTATCTGTCCAAGTGAGGGTTGGACAACAGGGGGAACAACTGTCATCATTATAGGAGACAACTTTTTCGATGGCCTTCAGGTTGTTTTTGGGACCATGCTTGTATGGAGTGAGGTGAGGATTTTCTTTATCAAAATTGAAATCAATTAAAATTAATTAAGATTAGAATTCATAACACAAATTGCCGATCCTTTGCCAAAAGAAGAAACGTAAGGCAAATTATGCTTTAGTGTCAATAAAATGTAAATATAAGTTAAACCCATGAATAAAAGATGTGATATGACAATGTATATTTTATATAATTTCATGTTAAACATTATTAATTAGAAAATTCATTTAAGGCAACATTTTAATTTACCTGTGACTGAGTGGATGATTAAGGTGTCTTTGAAACGTTGGCTGGATTTAATTGTAATGGAAATACAAACAGCACTACCTCATAGGGATCTAATTTCTGATTTTCCAGCCTATTTAGTCTTGCGTCTAAGCAGTCCTTTTATACAGAAGGATAGGCGCTAAACAATGAAATTCACCCATTAGACGAAAGCTGGGAAATCTATTACTGGTTACTCAAACATTCAAACCCAGTAATGGAAGAGAAAATTAATTTTTGATGCGCAACAAAAGGAGACTAGCTTAGCCTAGGATCGAACGGTATCAAACACATAATCCAGCATGCAAGGGAGTATAATAGAGCGGTAACGGTGATGCTGATGGCTAAGGACAAACAAAAAATATTCTGTGTTTCATATTCTCAAATTGGAGGACAGTTTTATATTTTTGCAGTATTATTGAAATGTCCAGAAATTATATTAATAGAGTTTAAGGTCTTTACGCGAAATTTCCAAAATTTGGTTCCTCTAAGATATCACGATAAGTGTAAATGGACTTAAAAGCTTCTGAAATCGGAGAAATCTGTAAATCTTCAATTAACATCTGAAGGCTAGTTTAAAATAGAAACAGCAAAAGCAAAAATTAAGTACACACGGCCTAACATTTGAATAGTTGTATTTACCATCCGCTCTTTGTATCTATCAGATTTTTACGCCTCTTTCATTTCAATAACGGGACCTGGTATTGAAATGCAAGAACGATCCCGTTCTAAAGAGGAGAGGAGTGTCTTTGCTTGCTCTACGATCCGTAAATAATTCACTGTTTTCAGTACAGCAAAGCTATACAGACGAGTGCAAACATTAATCGAGAAAACTAATTGTAATTCTTGTTTCCGAAAATAATTTGTAAGCTTGCGTTTCCATGTCCGGTACCATAGTACCTTATCATACCTTTTAACAAGAGAATGGCTATTTCAAAGGATGTCATTTCGTATGCAAATACACAAGATGAAATGCGATGAAACGGAACGCGCGCACGTGTTATTGTTTACCAAGGCGCGTCTGTGTGGGGTGGGTTCAGACTGACAAGTGATCGACATATTCTATGAATGATTTATAAAACTCAGTACCTAGCTATCCACACAACAAGTGTGGATAATTAAGTCGGAATTAAGAATTGGGATGTGTCACAAATCAACACTACAACAGTGTTTTAATTCAGCGCTGAATCAATTTATAGATATAGGATGGCACTTAGTTTATTTTTTTCGTGTTAAGGACAGTATACAGTTACACTCAGTATATATATAAAATCAGAATTTATTTTCCGAATCGAATCAATGAATCTCGAATAAATTGAAATAAATTTCAATATCCAAGTTAGAACCAACAAGAAAGTGATCATATTTAATGTTTTAATATTGCCAGGCGTGGCTTTGCTAAATACTGGTTCAAATTGCTGTCTTGGTAGTTTCTGCTCGAATATCTCTTTAATACCCTTAAATTGAGAATATGTGTTTTGACTAAGTGATTTCTAAAAGAAGAAATATATCTCTAAGAAAATCAAAATTTGTAGCATTTTGTGCACATTGTACGTAAAACATTTTTGTCGTTAATGATAGTGTGGTGACAAATAAATTTACAAACGGCTTCTGACATTTTGTTATCTTCTAATGTTATAAAACATCATCTTTGTACCGTAAGAGTGAAGGTCGGAAACATAAACAGCATGTCTAATTCCAAAACATTACGAGAAAGCGTCGCGGCCTACTGCTGAAATACATTCTAATTTACTTTTTTCAATTGCCTGGCTGTGTTTGGTACGTATTCTACTTAACCAGGAGATATGTACCAACTTTGTCAGGGCATCACTTCTCTCATAGTATTCCAATCTACAAGTCAGTTTATTTATAGGTTTTACAATAAAATGTGCGACAAACATGCTGGAAGTTTCATGTCTCTGCCCACGGGGACTTGACATTCTCACCTAATCTTCTTTTGCCGATTATGACTGTGTGGATTAGAGTACGTCTACGTGCATGCGCATCATGTGTAGAAAAGCTACCAGTGATTTATCGGCACATTTATATATAAGAATACTCCAATTGAACCCTATGAGTGTCTCGAATGCTTCAGTTTAATTGAGTTTGACGGGAGTGGTTCGTGTGTTTCAAACTATAGAATTTATTACTATTGCAATATGTTAGCTTGCAACCAAATAAAAGAGATGTGCGTTGTTAATTTTGTTTATTTGTGAGCTTAGTGCCCTTTTATAGTTGAATTTTAGATGTGGCAGAAGACCGGTAACCTGTACTTCAATCCAATTCTCTAGTAGAAGTATTAGAAGATTAAGAAAATGTTAGTCTTAAATCGTTTATTTTCTTTATCAATATTGAAAAGAAAAATAACCCATAAAAATCATACTCGACTATTTTCGAATCTAATCGCAATCTAATATAGTCCATGAAATTTTAAATATCTTCCATGTTACTTGTGTTTTGTTTCTAATGATTCGATGCATTTTTGATATCAGCCTCGTTTTGATATTTCCCGCCATGTATATTTGAAATATAACAGAAAATTTCTTTTGTGTTGTAGCTGATCACGTCACATGCTATCCGAGTACAAACACCTCCTAGACACATACCTGGGGTCGTCGAGGTCACACTCTCTTATAAATCCAAACAGTTCTGCAAAGGCGCACCTGGTCGTTTTGTTTATACAAGTAAGTAATAACATCTCTATATTTGATTGCCAGTTCATTAGATAATATACATTTTGTGTCTACTTCATATGAAAAGGTAATGCAAAATGGAAGGGCTAATTAAGAATTTAACTAATTTACTGCAGAGAAGCGGAATACCGAAAAAAAGCTTGAAGGCAAGAATTTTTTTTTTTTTTTTTTTACTATTTTAAGATTTAACTGCATCATACAACTGTTTTGTCCTTCTTGGACAGTGTTGCTAAGGTTCGTGAAACCTAAAAGACGATAAAAGAAAATCTAAATTAATCGGAAGAAATACCAAACTTTAAATGGGAACATACACTAACCAAATCCATTCACTTGGTTTTCTCACATTGGCAATCTCAAGTGTCAATTTTCTCATTGACGCTTATTTTGACTAAAGTAAATAAAAATCAACCAATCACCCTCTCAGTCATTAACCCGACCGATCAATTTTTAATTGTTAGTTCTACCTCAAAAATCTTCTCGTTCCTAAACTCGCATATCATTCCTTCATATTGTGTATAATTGTTGACACCACTTCAATAAACTAGGGCACATAACAATTTCAACATAAACGTTTGAAAATATGCTCTATCAAAACCAATAAATAAGATTTATGGAATGGGCTTTTAAAACGTAATGAACTACACTTCAATAACTGTATGGATGTTGTTAAAATGCTTTATTCCTTATTGAACAAATGTTTGGAGACATAAAGGATATGTTACGCCTGTTTCAGATCCATAACAATATAAATCATCCAGTTTCATGGTTATATTTCAGATCGTTTTTAAGCATGCGTCACTGTACTATCCTCTGAAAGTTTATTTCACATTACACAATTAACATGAGAGATTAAAAACCACAAAAGAATACATTTCCGAGAGATGATGATATAAATTGGATCCGGTGCTAGAAACATAACACTACCGTTTTCCTGTTTTAATACAACCATGTTATGCAATTTCTAATTGCTCAAAAGAATAGGTCAAAATGTCGGTGACACACTCAGGACTGAATTCAATCCGATGATTTGATTGGCTATCGCATTTTACATGTTTCTGTGTGACATATGGGCTTATTAATTCGCTGTCAAATAGGGAACAATCGACTATATTTCTATGACATCTGTATCTTTCGGTGCTGCAAAGTTCCATCCATCACATTGACGTGGGCAATGAGAGAACTGGCTCTTCCTAACGTTGAATGAATGACTACATCGCGACATGATATTAACACGAATGTCAGTGGCGAACGATGATTTTCTAATTCCTGTAGCGGTAATGGTGGAGCTTGCAGTATTAACGCCCGACGAACAAGCTCAAAGGTTCCAGGAGCTTTCATTACTTCAATAAAACTCTGCATCTCGCAACGAGACACCACCGACTATGGGGCAAATTACTTCCCTCTCTTTAATTATACGGCGGACTGATATGCGCGTGAATCCCGATAATATATTGTCGTGTTACTGTGTTGATGAATATCAATATAACATTCATCTCGGACCAAGGCAAGGTGCTAAAAGCTGTAATTATCTTTCAGGCGAAAATGAAACATATTTGTGATCGAGTATGATTTTTATTGCATGATTGAAGCATCGTTTGTTTCCAAGGTTTATGACAGATGAGATGAAAAATGAGATTAGAATGATGTCTATTTAGAATATTGATTTGTCCGGCAATGGAAAAAAAACCTTATGAAAAAAAGAATGGACTATTATAGTGATGACGTATGTTCATGAGGCGATTAAGGTGCAGTAAACAAGGTTTTGATTATCTCCCCTTTTCGATGTGGTGTTATTATCTGGAAATATTTATTCCAGTTATCAAACGAAGGCATCTACTGTCAACACTTGCCTTATATGGCTGGAGACACCTCCTGATACGTGCCGACGGTCTGACAGTAGTGTTCAGGCGTTGGAGAGGTATTCTTGTCATTCGACAATCTGATACAGACCGTAACAGTAGATTTATTTTCCTGATACAACACTATACATTTTCAATGTCTTTTATTCCACATCATTAAAAAATGATGAGTTCTTATGGACATCTTTGGGGGACTACATCAGTAGCGATACAGATCAATGCATCAACTAATTTATCATCCAAAATCGTGTGTATGACTGTAAACGTATATAATTTAGTGGTAAGCTTATTTTAAGGAGTGGAAGTAGTGCGCTAAAATATTATTTCATTACGATGCATGTTTTATATCAGGAATTTATCACTTCAGTATTAATTAAACATTTTCCGACCTAGTATCAAAAAAGCGAAAATAATATCGAAAAATAAATGAATTGTAAAGACACGGTTTTTGTTTTATGACCAATTTTCAAACTGAACAAAAATCAACGCTGGAAGCAAGATGAACGATTGTTTCCTCGTAAAGGAGCTCAAAATCATTAGGTTTGACCTTCATATTATATTGGTCAGTACCAGTTACACCAAAGCGGGAGTATTACGACGAGATCTATATAAAGTTCTTTTCCCCTAGCGCTGCAGTGATGTATGTTATGGATACAGACTAAAATTTTACAAATCATGACAAACCATACCAGTAAAACATATCATTTATCATCACTTCTTTACAAAGGACATATGGATGTCATTACGTCGAAAACTCAATGCATTTGAAATAATTTCATATGTCAGATGTTGTGAGTTGATACATTTAAAAGTGTACTCATTCCAATTTCACTCGCCGATGAGATGAAGTCGATCTTACATCATGAATATAATATCTCGACACTATTATCCATTAATAATGATACAGCACAATTGTTGAAAACAATCCTCAGTTTGTTTAATCTAATGGTCACAAACTCCATTTGAGACAAGCAATTTATTATTTGATAACAACCTTGAAATTACGTTTTTTCATTTTTTACATTTTCTATGTTGGAATTGTTATTTCAAAAACTGTGTTTATGAAATGTGATTTTGAAATCGATGTCTTTGATTGACAGTGAATTATATTTTAAACTAATATGTGATTTCAGCACTAGCTGATCCAACTATAGATTACGGCTTCCAGAGGTTGATGAAGCTTGTACCCCGACATCCAGGAGATCCTGAGCGGCTTCCTAAGGTAAGTGGATGTTGTTTTTCTTATTTTCTCCGATTAATGAAATATCTGTACTGTCAAATCACAGATCCATATTTTATTCAAAGGTGAATTTGCATTGGGTTTTTCCCTCTTCACATTACAACAATGTATAAAAATAGAAAAGTCAGAAAATTAGAAGTTAATGTACAATGATATTAATAATCTCATGTTTCAATAAATTACTGGTTGGATTTGTTAGGCTTTCCATGATTATAAGAAGGTCCATTCAATCATCTAACTTCCTTTGATTGGTGAATTATCTCTCCTCCTTTATGTAGCAGATAATGTCAATGGTGGAAAAATAGATAAATATAGATCAACCAGAAATAGCAAACTATCCGAGATCGCTAGTAAAAATCAATTCTTTAATAAATGTATCGACCAAACGGTCAACAGCATATCAAATACTATCCCCGCTTTTGTCGTCCAGAAGGTATGTCATATATTACATTGGATAAAATTAGGAGACATTGTTTTGTTCACGTTCGACTAAAAGTTTCTTTTTTTATCTTTATCAAGCTCTCAAAGGAAGTGATACGCATTTGAAAATGTGGTGAAAGCACAAATATGTGGCATAGTAACTATTTGACTATATATTGTTAGAGATAACAAGACGGAGAAAAAATACTGCTTTGAAAATTAGATGTCAATGTGGAAATTAATTTCTTTCCGTCGACTTTGATAACATCGTTGCCGAAAATAAACTTTTTCTTTAGTCTGTAAGAATAGCTTTTAGTTTTGGAGTATTAAGAACACCAAGACAATTTTTTTTACTCAGTTTTTTATGCTTATAGAACTGAAAATGATAAACCTTTACCTGATATGGTGTTATTCAGAAAGATGTTGATTAAGATGATTTAGAATTATGTAATGTTATATTTCAGGAAATAATTCTGAAGCGAGCCGCAGACCTAGCTGAGGCTTTGTATAGTATGCCACGAAATCATAACCAGCTTTCTCTTCCACCTCCTCGCTCTCCAGCAATGAATAACGGCTCACCTATGTCAAGTTTTAATTCATACGCCGGTCAGCTAGCGGTCAGTGTTCAGGACACAAATGGTCAATGGGAAGAAGGTAAGCATACAATTGAAAAACGAAATCTTCTGACTTTATCATAGCTGGCAAGAGGTTTTTGCCTCAGACTGATTTTAAGATTATTTACCCATATTTAAGCAACTTTAAAGTAGACCATGGAACTCAAATGATGCCGTTTTCGGCTTATTTTCACTTAATTATTTCGTCACGTAACAGCTCATAAGCAGTATCCAGTGGAGATAAAAATCAAGTTCATTTACCATGCTCTCCTGTATATCTGGTATATCACCTTGGTTTTATTAGGTTACACCAGGGGTCAGGCGTCAAGTGTTTCGCCGAGGGGATATGGCTCAAATGGTTCTACGCCCCATAGCAACGGAAGTAGTTACAGCTCAACAGCCATGAATGGCTACCATGGCGGAAGTCTGGGAAATATGGGTAAGCGTTTCAAGTCTTTTGCCAATGAAATATCCTTGTTTATTGGTTTTTATTGTCACCATCAAATGTGAGGAATTTAAAGGAGAACTCGTTTTTTGTTGGGGGTGGGGTGGGGGGGGGGGTTGGAGGTTGGTTATGTGATTTTGAATACTGGTATTTCTGTAGATAATCCCTATGATGTTTTACATGGATGTCCCACCTATAGATAAATCCAGGTTCGATATGTTATATCATATATGATGATTGAAATTATTTTGAAGATGTACATTTGAAACTTAATTACGTGTGTAAATCTTTCCTTGTTAATAATAATATTTATAATCATGGTATTTTGTTCTTCCAATTGCCTCAACTGTCCAAATTTAACGTATGATTTAGAAAGCTTTGTTTCTTCTCGGAAAAAATATTAAGAAGTGTTCTTTCATGAATACTTTATTTCACACAAATATCTCTCCTTTATATGTGTGGTTAATGTAGCACAATTTCACTTCTTTGGGTGTTAATTTGTACAAATCTTGACAATAATTGGCTCGAATAATTGATTTCGGTGAAATACATTAATCACCATGAACATTATGGATATTACATTTAGTTTTTATTCATGTGAATGCGCTGGATTTCCATAATCAAATACCAAGAAATACGAGACAGATGCTAAGATCTCTAACGAACAAATAGACTTTCGCTGGTCCTGTCGCTCTGCCTTCGCCTAGCAAATATACTGCAAAGAAACTCGCCCTATCTCAAACCAATTCTCTAACTAACTAACCAAAAGCAGTTTTTCTTGTAATTTCCTCTTTCAATTTGCAAACAACATGATCTGTTCAAACAAAACAATGTTGCCTTTATTAGGTTAAGTCTCTTTCAGTGTCTTCCGCATACAAATTTGTTGTCTTTTGTGATGAGATTGAGACACACCATCTAGATTCCCAAGTGGGCTAGTTTTTTCAAGAGCCTACACACAAATTTCTTGGGAAGGACTTCTTTAGGGAGGAAAATGATGTATTCCAGAAATGTCAACACAGCTATGCACGACGATCTGAAACATAATTGGTCTCGGATTAAATGTTATCTATTATCCTGCTTGATTGTTCACATCCGGTATCTAAAAAGACTAATGGGATAGAAAATCCGATTTTTTTCTTGATTATTCAAATCTTTAATCACTTTGCCTCGCTCTTTAAAATATAGTATGGCTGGTAAGGTTTTTTCATTTTCCTCTTTGGCAAGAGTTACTGAAGCATATGTTTTTTAATTTACACATTTGAAATTATACATACAATTAAAACAAAATTTTGTCAACCATTCTTACTTTTGTTAAACCGTTACAATAATCAAAAGATAAACTGGTATCTTTCGCTTTTCAACACTCCTTTCCCATCTAACAGACGTTTCCTCACGGATTCACTCTCTGGCCAAATAAGGTGAACAACTACCTATATGAGCTATTGTACTTACCAATATATCAATTACCTCGAAAAAAATCTTGATCACATTTGATTTGAGATTTGATACTGAGTATATATCGAACGGATGAAGCGAGGTTTTCGCTGATTGCTTCTTTAAATTAGTGTTTTTGGATTTTGTTCTGATTAAGTTATCAGGCTTACTTATTGAGACGCCTATGCCTATATGATATGATAATTGCTTAAGCAATCAATTGGCCTAAATTAGAGATATCGGTCGTCAAACAAGACATGCAATGCCTTTGACCCGTTATCAATGTTTAAGTAACACAGACTGAATGGTCCAATGCTGTCTAGAATATCTTAAAGGATCAACTAGACTTAGTATTAGTCTTGGCATATTCTGTTTATATATTCGTATTTATCCATTTTCTTCATTTTTATTTGTGCCTGATGTAAATATAGTCAATATTGTGTTTGAGCTTTATGAGCTGGACACGATATAACTCTTCATATGTACTGTGTATAATCAGTAAAGGGGTTGGTTCTGACCATAGGCAAATTTGGTTTCCATCACTTGTCCTTTCATGGAGAAATTGCGTTGCAGGATTTATCTTAACAGAAGGTTAATGAGTTGATTGAGTAGTATATTGTTTTTTATTCTGTTTTAACCTTGTGATCCAATACAATGTATTATTTTTGTGGACCTTAACAACCTTGAGCATTATTATTTGACTTGGTATTCTGTTTTCCTACTGCGTTCATCAACTTTGGAGTCATAGCTTGACTGGGTACTTGTTTTCCTACGGTGTTCACTACCTTGGGCCTCGTGGTTTGTCCTGGTGTTCTTTTCCGTCGAATTCCTACAATTTTGCCACAATTTGGCCGAATATGGTGTTATTTTTATCATGAAGGTCATGGTTAAACTAGATTTGATATATTCCTACAGGCATGACTCAACAAGTATGTGCCCATTGTGCAAGTGTTTCCCTCTTGCCATAGAAACTGGTTTAGACTTTATGGGATTCACCTGAAATGCTATAAAGCATCTTTCCTGAAATTTCGGTCTTGGTCGGCATCCTCCTAATTTTACTCTGTATCATTTTTGTTTTCTGCAGTGGGTCCCTCACACTCACCCTCCCTGCCCCCTCCTGTGCCCTCTTCCGGTTATCAGGGTGGAAGTGCGCCAGGGATATTCTCTTTTTCACCAGCCAATATGATCTCTGCAGTGAAACAGAAAAGCGCCTTCAACCCTGTTGTGCGGCCTCCGGGTACGGGCGAAAGTCCACCCGCTGCGGGATCCATTCCTTCAGGACTAACTAGTGGGTGGGCGCACCCCATTCTCAGTGTTAGTATCTTTGCAATTTATAGGACAAAAATGTGTTTTAAATCCTTTTATCTAAAAGAAAAACACTGAAGCAAACAAAATATCTTACTGCAGATTGGGAAGTTAACGTTTTGTAGCTGCCAAATGCTAAAAGGTAAAAAAAAAAAAAAAAATCGCGGTCGGTCTACTTTTTGAATTAAAACTCGGAGCGCGGATTCAAACCCAATCTACAGTAATTTTCCATTCTCTTTTAATTTCAATTCCGAACGGCATTTGCTGGATTTCCATTGATATACTAACAAATCGATTCAAGACGCTTATTCTTACTGCAAGAACATATTGGCTGATTGTTTGAAATGTGTTTGTCATTTCTTTTAGATGTATTGATGTTCAATATCTGTCTTTGTAGTATTTGTAGAAGAAGTCTTATGTTTAAGTTGTGTGGCTGCATTACGTATAATGTTTTTTGTGTACTTTCAGGAATGAGCAGCATAGTTGCGTCACCATTTTCTGCTGTTAATCCCTTCGCTCTACCGACATGTAATGGTCAAACATACGGCAGCTCACTAATATCATCGGCAAAATGATCCTAGTCCGTTGCTACGCAACAAACAACTTTTACGACATGCCCCAAGGTGGACCAGAATGTGTGTAACGGCGTCCAAATTACGACACTTTATTCTTACGGAACATTTGCTGAATGGGAGAAATTGAAGTCGTAAACTGTTTCTATACAAAGCGATTCGACTTTGAATAAGAGATGTCGTGGAATACACAGAACATTTTAGATAGAAATACGGGCGTGTCCAACACTAATGCACGTGCTAGTCTATATATACAGAATGTTGATTAAAAGACAAGGACGGTGAAGAAGTTTTGTGTGAGCATTTCCATCATATCACATGATCAATCTCGTGTGAAAGGAAAGATTGTTACAAACAAAATGCCTTACTATAAATTGCTCATTTTACTTAACAGGGATTTTAGTGATGTGTGACCAATGTGTAGTAATTGTAAGGTGAATTAGGTTTTTAATTTTATTTCAAAATTAATTGGGCCTCCAATCATCATCTCCACGGATCACAGTGCTACAGTTCTCGTTACAACGAGACTTTAACAAGACTTTGTTTAAGCATTGCGGCTAACGTCTTGACATTGCATCACAATAGCTCACAAATATTCATTGACTAAAAATTTGATATTATTAAGGGAGGATGCTACTTTACAGTGCTGTGAATATGTTTCATGGACTTTATTTACATGTGATAAAATGGATTTACATATAGTGTATGTCCAGTTTCTGTTTCATTATTTACTTACTATTGATACAGAGATATTGTGTTTTATCTTTCTATTAATACTTACATGTTGAATTTAAACCGATTACGATTTCTATATTTATTTATAAGTTGTTCTAGTCAATTTCTATATTGTTCTGTACATTTCTAGTCATTATGGGTAGGATTATCTTAATTACGTTTTTACTGAGTGTAATTTTGACACTGACTTTGATATTTATTTTCTCAACTCTGCATTATTGTTACAAACGTATAGACGTATGAGCGAGTAAACAGTTTTTAATTCAAGTCAAGTATTTCCCTTACGACGCTGCAATTACTTGAATAAACACAAAATTGACATTGTTTAAGGAAATTTTGACCAAACCATTTGTGTTTGATATTATACTATCATTTTGTTATAAACTTTATATTCTAACCAGAAAAGACATTTCCTTATAAGCCTTTCCTGCTCAATACTCGCACAAACAGTGAATAACTCATTTAGTTGTGTGCCAAATTCATTGTTTAATATGTTAGAAATCTAGTTGTACATTTGATCCTCGTTAATCCGAAGTTCTTTTATACAGTTTCGACTATCTGAAAAAAATTTACCTGGATAAAATGTCGCAATTTTAACAGTGTTCCATTAAATCAGAATTTCTTTGTCCCGTATAATTATTTAGCTCGGAAAAAGACAAATACGGATTAACAAGTTTTCGATGTATCGCAAATATTATTTACGTCGATAATTGTTAGTATTATCCTATTTTTATTTTTATTTTTTACCTGTTTTTTATTGATAACTTTTTTTAAATGTACTTTTCGAAAATACTTCTTACTTCTTAAAGTTTTATTCTTTCGAATGTTTCTGCTTTCTTACCAATTCTGTTAAAGCGTTGTAACGAAATTGATACTTGTCTGTCTGTGTGTCTGTAATACGTCCTACCTGCAATTTTATTGATATTACATATAAATATCTTATTGATTAATGTGATGTATGTAATTCCTTAGGAAGATGGTGCGCAAGAAATTTTATCACTGAGAAATACTTAAAGAACTCCTCATGGATATATAATGAGTTATTTGAATTTTTTTTAAAAGTACACTGAAATTAAAATTTGTAGTAATTTAAGTAGAATGCACATTTAAATTATTTATAGAAATAAATGCGTATTAGGTTAGAGTGTCGCCACACATTTATTTTCACAAAATTTACGTATCTAGTCATTTGACATGAGAACCTCTGAACTCTCTAGTGAAAGAGGCAGTTAAGTGTCACGAGTATAGTGTTTATCTGTTTTTCCGTCCGAATGGAACAAATATCTGCTTGAATTTGAAAATACATATTTATCATATAGGATTTTTATAAAAGATAACTTCACGTTAAATATTTCTTTCTTAAAGGGGAAACAACTCTCACGTTCGCTCAGATGATCTTGTGTTATTCAAATACCGTACTAAATATCAGTATCTTTCATTCATGTGTTATTAATTTAGCAAAGTTAATGATTTATAACTAAATTGCCTAAATCAATATACCTAAATTATGGAGAGATATTTTTATACTCGTCACTTTAATTAAAAGTAAAGAAATCCCGTCACATTCATAACAAATATCATTCCACATGTTAATGTAGGCATAGACAACCTTGGATTTGTTGGAGATTAAATCATGCTAGGACATTACTGAAAACGTCCAATGAATCCCGAAGAGTTCTTCGTCATTGGCTAAAATTACGCATTATTTGTATATCAAACTGCAAGCAAATTCATATACATGTATTTATTTGGTCTATCGCCAAATTATCAAAAACTACGATTTCTAATGGCAATTTGAAACTGAGCTTATTAATCGGGAGTTCAACAATACAAACAAAATTTTGATAGCAAACATCCAACATTGATGAGATAGAGCATATAAGATTAAAAATAGAAATAACATCAAAAACCTAATCTAGTCATAATATAGGTTTGTTGAAATGTGATGTGTTCTATTTTATATTTTTTTTTATTTATATATTTATTGAACACAGTAATGTGTAACTCACAATCGATATCTTTGTTCTAAATACCATGGACGTCAAATTGCAGAAAGTGGAGGGGGGGGGGGGGGTTTATGCTGAAGTAGCTATTGGTATTACATAAACACTATTCAGAAAATGTTCACTCAGGTCTGCTGTTTCTGTCAATTCATTTTACTTCTTTTGCATGTTCAAAGATAATGAATATTATTGTATCAATTTAACTTTGTCTAACTTTGATGTAAATTATATTTGAATCTTTAAAAGTATGAAAAATACAAATAAAAATCTTGAAAAATCTAGGAGTATTTTTGTTATCACAATTTAAGATAAGAGTTCTTAGTTTTATCATTTCGTTGCTATGAATATTGCGGTAGACACATGAAAAGTACGAAATTTATTTAAATATCTAGATTTTAACATTTTTTCGGTGATTTTGGATTTTCCTCAGTCGCCTCCTAGGTTTTGAAATAATGCCCTTATCATCACTTCCTAGAAGGACGAAATCCTGTATGATGCTGTTAACGTCATTGTTTGGCTCTTCTGTTTCTTATAGTTAATTTGTTTCATAATGTGTTATTTTCATGTGTCTACTCAATACTGATGTATTTTATATGGTACTAGAAAGGTTCCTTTACAAAGTTCAGTTCTGGTGAATTTCCTATGGTATTGAAATGTCTCCTGTATTCACATACACTTTTTTGTAATGGGATTGAACATAAAATCATCTTATCTAGGTTAACTTTTGTCAGATCTTCTACATCTATATTGTGTATACAATCACTCGTCTTCCTTCGTCAATGGACATTACAGACAAATCGGTATTATTGGTGTATCATTTATTTTCTTGAACGTTACCGGTATTGTTTTAGGCCAAACTTCAGTTATAGCTAATATCAGATTTCTCTATTTCTAATGCTACTTTTCAATTAATTTCTCTAATTATCTAAGAACGATTCAACGTTACTGTATAAAACCTTAATAACCATCATCTCAATGGCTACATCTGTCACTCTATGTACCTCATCGTTGGTACTACAAAAATATAAAAATATAATCGAATTCCTATCAAGTAAGTTCATCTCACATGATGCCTTGTAATCGACTCTGTGAATATATCAGTGTAGGTTCTTCATCATTTTGCATATTATCTTCCATGACACTGCTATCTCTACTAGAGAGATTGTCTCAGTCATTTTTTTAAGTGCTGAATTCTCTCCCACGTGAGGTACCTGTGGTAATGCCGAATTCTCTCCCACGTGAGGTACCTGTGGTAATGCCGAATTCTCTCCCACGTGAGGTACCTGTGGTAATGCCGAATTCTCTCCCACGTGAGGTACCTGTGGTAATGCCGAATTCTCTCCCACGTGAGGTACCTGTGGTAATGACGAATTCTCTCCCACGTGAGATACCTGTGGTAATGCCGAATTCTCTCCCACGTGAGGTACCTGTGGTAATGCCGAATTCTCTCCCACGTGAGGTACCTGTGGTAATGCCGAATTCTCTCCCACGTGAGGTACCTGTGGTAATGCCGAATTCCTCCCACGTGAGATACCTGTGGTAATGCTGAATTCTCTCCCACGTGAGATACCTGTGGTAATGCTGAATTCTCTCCCACGTGTGGTAATGCAGTCTCCGCTCATCAGGCGGCCCTCATAGAAACTAATGTTTCCTTCTACAATTAAAGATGATGGTACAATCCCTTTTTCATTGAGTTGTGCCCATATATACAGGGATGTTTCGGGTGATTATGGTAGTGCTTTTGTTTTTCCTTTTCCTCTGTGTTCCCCTTTCCGGTTTTTTCTTTCACTGTCGTTTGATTCATCACATTATCGTTTTGTTGCGGTGTTAGATCCCTTGCTACTAATAGCTTTTTTCAGCCTTTATTCTCCATTCCCTTATCCTAGTGTCTACAACTTGATCTAATTCCTACTCAATCTACTGTATTATTGTTCCTTTCACTTTTTGATTTAGTGTTTTCAACATTTTCTGCTTTCCAATTCTTTTACTCGAATTTCGACTTCTGTCACTCTTTTTCGTGTTTTCTTTCTTTTCTTTTATTCTCATACCCATGTTTGTCATTCGTGGAAGGTTATTTTTACATTCTACCAAAGCCATAGAAGTCCATCATTTTCTCATTTTCAATTTCACCTAATATGGACATATTTACCCAATACAACTTGGACAAAAATCTTATACTTTACATGCCAAACCACTTATTTGTCACATACTGGGTAGATACTTGATTTAACACTTGTTTTCCTTTACCTTATAATTTTTAATACA